GTCACTATAAGTCAGAATCAACTCAACAGCAATGGTTTTCTGTTTTAGTAATAATCATCTCTTTGTCCCATAGGTCAATGATTCCCAAACTTTTGAATTTCATACACGGACAAGTAAAATTTGGAGAATGCTATTCTTCCATGGGGAGCTCTGGTGGCATAGTGCCTAAGGCATTTGACTGCTAACCAGAAGGCTGGTGGTTCAAACCCCCCAGCCACTCCTCAGAAGGAAGATTAGGCAATCTACTTCCATAGAGATACTGCCTCAGAAACCCAAGAAGGGGTCTTTGTGAGTCATAATGGACTCAATGACATTGAGTTTGGTGGGTTTTTTTTTTTTTTCATTCTTCCATGAGCCCCAAAGGCATCTAAGGACAGTTTTGGAAACAGTGGTACAATTTTATGCCCAAAATACAGAAGAACTTTTTGAATCAATCATGATCTAAAGTAAATTCATCTGAGAGGCCTACCTGAAATGATTGAATATACATTAGCTATTCTATGAGAATTTTGCAAAAATTGAGAACTTAATCTTTAAATAAACATCATCAGAACATTTATATAATATTATTTTAATAGATCATCCAGTGAAGTTAAAATATATTGTAAATATAAGTAAAATTCACTTATAGTTTTGAAATAATTCAATTAATATTTAGCAATAGGATGCCTAAGGCACTTGACTGCTAACCAGAAGTCTGGTGGTTCAAACCCATCAGTCACTCCTCGGAAGGAAGGTTGGACAATCTGCTTCCACAGTGATACCACCTCAGATACCCAAAGAGGAGCCACTACGAGTCAGGTCCAACTCAATGGCACATAACAACAATTAGATACTATACTAAGCACTCCAATGGCAATAACATAAGTTTTGCAAAATGACTAGTAAAATTGGAAGAAATTGTGAATTCCTGATTGTTCAACTTATGCTTGAGTCTTCATTTATTACTTCTGTTTCATTTAATTGTTCATATTTCTATATACATAAAAATATTTTTCATAAAGTATAGATTTTTGAAAATATTAAATAGCCACTAGAAATGATGGTTACAAAGATTATACAACAACTTGTTGTTGTTGTTGTTGTTGTTATGTGCCATCGAGTCAGCCCTGAGGCAGTATCACTACGGAAGTAGGATTGCCCAACCTTCCTTCCGAGGAGTGGCTGGTGGGTTTGAACCGCCAGCCGTCTGGTTAGCAGGCAAGTGTCTTAGCCACTATGCTACCAGAGCTCCCATACAACAACTTAGGGATATGCATATAACATAAATTAAAAAGGCAGAAAGCAAAATTGTGTTTATGCTGCAAATTTACTTTTATGTAAAACATAAATATCTTTAAATAAATATGAAATAATTTAAAGTATCTTATGATTGAGGGTTGAGAAATATTAGCTTTTTGAAGAAAAGTCTGATACATTAATCCATTTTAAAAACTGCTGAATCCTTTTTTAAAATTTAATAAAACTTGTATCTCAAAACAAAATTCAATTCAATTAAACAATTATTTTGTTGATACAAGTAGTATCAGAAAGAATTATACTTTATTAGTGATGAACCACAAGCTTTAGAGTCAGATAAATCTCAATTTAAATGCAACATTCTTATTTTGTAGTACCTATGTGGTTTTGGGCACAGCAATAACCTTTGAACTGTAGTTTCCTCACTTGTAAAATAAAGTAACTCCTATCTCATGTGGTTATTGGAAAGAAGTGGAGATAATCAGTGTGTGTGTGTGTGTGTGTTGCTCAAGAAATTTTAATTACATTATGGATTTCTTGATGTGTTAAGTGATTAATTTCTTATTATTAAGGCAGTGAAGTTGAAAGCTTATTCATCTCTCCATTCATTCTTACATTTTATCTCACTTAATTCTCACAATACTCCTATGAGATAGATATTGTATATCCACTTGTCTGATGAGAAGCTGAGTAATTCTTCCAAGGCCTTAGGACTATATAAGGAAGTATGAGATTTAAGCTTAGATCTGCCCAACTTTAAACTTCATGCTCTTAACCACTAGGGTGTTGCTTTTGATATACTATATTTCATGATAAAAGCAGGAAATCTACCTTGCTGAGAATATTTGTGTATATCAAAACATTATCCATTATAAGAAACACAAATTCTACTTCTTGCTGTATCTTTCAACATATTACCTTACATATGGAAAATGTCTTATCCTCCATAATATCAAAATACCAAAAGTGTAACAGTCAAGTAATGAAATTAAAAAGAACATAAAATAACATTAAAGTAGAAAAAATTCAAAGAGTTGTTAATGCTTTGCTCTTGGGCTCTTACATATCGAACAAATTGCCTAGAGTCACCACATGTTGTTATATAAACCCAAACACTATATCCTCAGTGTGTCACAATGGACAGAGTTAATGATTCATCTGTAATCCTAAAGGCTCCTTCAAGGATTAAATGACTTTCCCCACAGTCTGCCCATCACCCTCTTGTTGATACTGTGAAGAGGATTTACCTCCATTGCTTTGCCTATTTTTCCATTATCTGTTTACTTCAAACCCTATCTGTTCTCTCCTCCACCCACACAATTCAGCAGGAATCAAAGGCAGTCGAAATCGTCACTTGAGTCAATTTTGAAACAAAAGTGATTTGGTTAGACAGCAAAGACCAATTTTGTTTTTGTCAATCTTGCATTTTATTTCTTCTTCTACAGCCACAATTCTGTTAGTATTAATCAACAAAATAAATACTGATTGATAATCTCATATGTGTTCAACAAGAGAAAGGATATGAAAATGAATGAGACAAATTCTCTATCCTCAAAATGCTTACTATCTATAGGGGGTAAGAGATAAGTTAATTTCACATTAAGATAGGTACCAACAAACTGCTATGGGAGTACAAAGAAAGGAAGGGCCTACAATAAATCAGGAGACTAGGAAAAAACTTGAAGGAAGAGTAAGTTCATGAGACATTAAATGGGTAAGATTTCAGCATTATATAGGAGGAAGACAACAAGAGCAAAAGAATGATTGTTGGGGATGAAAAAAGGGTATTGGGGTAGTAATGTGGGGAGCACATATGCTACATGCTGATAAGTGAGAAAGAGTAAGTGATAAGATAGGAAACAGAGGGGACTAAATCATTGTGGACCTTGAAGGTCAAGGTGAGAAAAGTTTGTCTTTAATTACTAGAAATTATGAGCCAGTGAAAGTTATTAAGCAGGAGAGAGATATGATTGAATCTGAACTTTAGAAGATCAACTTGGAAAACTTCTGCAGAGTGGAATGATAAGAAAGTCAAGGCCAGATTATGAACACATGAATGAGGGGAGATACATTCAAGAAAATTCCAAAAGCAGCACCTATGTTTTGGCAAGTTACTAGAGCTCTGCTACCCAAGAGGGCAACCACTAGCCACTTGAAATGTGGTTAACCTGAATTGAGATGTGCTGTAAGCTTTTCACACTAGATTTTTAAAATTTAATATGAAAAAAGAATGTAAATTATATCATTACTAATTTTTATATTGATTACATGGTAAAACAATATTTTAGATACACTGGGCTAAATAAAACATAATATTTAAATTAATTTCATCTATTTCTTTTTACTCCTTTAATAGGACTACTAAGGAGCCCTGGTGGTACAGTGGTTAAGCGTGGCTGCTAACTGAAAGGTCAGCAGTTTGAAACTAACAGCTGCTCCATGGGGGAAAGATGGGACAGTCAGCTTCCATAAAGACTACAGCCTTGGAAAGCCCACAGGGCAGTTGTACTAGTCAGGATAGACTCTAGGACAGTTGTAAATTCTGATTTAAACATGTGGCCACATTGCATTTCTAATGCACAGTGCTGGAATAGATATCAGGGCAGAAGGAGATAGTAGTTCAACCAGAGAAGGAACTTCAGAAGAGGGAAGAGAACCTGGACAGTGCCGGGACAGAGGAGCCATACGGGACATTTTATTCATTTAATTATTTTAAGTGGGTATTAACAGCAAGTTCAAATGCTAGACAGATGCCAAGGAAGATGAACAGTAAACATGAGCCACTGTGGTTTTCACCCAGGTAAAGAAATGAACCAGGAGAGACGGACCTATATGGTCAATGGTGGGAGTGAGCAAATATTACTTTTTCAAGAAACAGCAATAAGAAAAAAAAATAATACAGCTATTGTTAAGATATAATGGGTTGAGTTTTTATTCGTTTTTTTGTTCATTCTTTGGGTTTTTGTTTTGTTTTCCAGCATTAAAAAAAAAAAGTATGCTTATAGGCAGAGGAATAAAAGAAATTGGAGAGGCAGTGGTCAGGGAAATAACTGATGAATAAGAACTCATTACTGAGCATTCTACAGAGAGTCCCACAAAAGAAAAAGATACTAAGAGACAGAATATATGACAGCTTATATTGTGTTTATATTTACATTGATATGACCAAAGAGAAAAGGTCATTTTCTTGAAGGGAAAAGGTGATGTTAAATTATTATCTAGGACAGAAAGCTGGGGAAAAACATGAACCATGCCGAAGATCTCTCTTTCACCCCATAGCTCTTCAACTCCACAACTTTGCAAGTGTTGTGGGTTCTATTCTGTCTCTTAATTGTTGTTAAGTGCCCTCGAGTCAGACCCAACTCATAGAGACCCCTCCTTGGGTTTCCAAGGAGGTATCACTACGGAAGTAGATTGCCCAACCTTCCTTCTGAGAAGTGGCTGGTGGGTTTGAACCACCAGATACATTTCCCTTTCACAACAATGGGGTCTTCAGTAGTGGCTTTAAGATTACAAACATGATTACTTTAGGATAAGGTATTTTGATTTTTCTGTATAAATTTTGCTTTCCAAACACTACTCTAAAATCCACTTATTTTTCTTTTCAGTTCTTGTAATTGGTCAAAGCCTGGTTCATCAAGAAGATTATACCTGTTTTTATTCATCTGATCATTTACTGATAAAGACAACACTTATTTTACATTGTTGTCAATCTTCATGTATAAGGACAGATTTGCTTTATATTCATTGATATGTCTTACTTTGAATGGCCTCTTGTTCCAAGTCGTCGTGTAGTTAGGAGGGGAAATTTCTGGCGAATTGTCTAAAAAGAAAGTCAATTACTTTAGTTTTGGGGAAGAATGTCATTTTATTACAATCCACTCATAATCAATACTTTAAGAAAGCATAAGTTGAACTGTGGGCAAACATTTGTTGTTGTTACCTGCTGTCCAAGTCAGACCCAACACATAGCAACCCCTCCTTGGGTATCCAAGGCAGTATCACTACGGAAATAGATTGCCCAACCTTCCTTCAGAGGAATAGCTGGTAGGTTTGAACCACCAGCCTTCTGGTTAGCAGTCAAGTGCCTTAGGAACTGCATTACCAGTGCTCTTGGGCAAGCTAAATGTGTATATGACATTAATTTTTCCAGTCTAAATGGGCAAACATTTAGACTGGAAAAATTAATATCATGTACATATTTATAACCAATACATCAGCAGAGGCAAGAAAATCCTTTGACTGAAGTATTTTATTGTCCTCAGTTTCCAAGACTGATTGTAACAATACATGCATTGCTTGTTTTTACTACCAAAATAGTTATTACATTATGTGCACACTTGGTGAGAAGATTTGAGCTTCTTTCTAATAATTTCATGCAGAGATTCACCCAAAATCTTTCTCCAGCCCTTCCTCCACAACAGTAATACAAAAATTTTCTTTGATATATTCCTTTCTCTAAATTTACTAAAATTAGGATCTGATTAAAGAACACACACCTTTTCTACATAACATAGCAGTTTGAAGTCTGGGTCTTGGGATATCTGTGCCTGAACTTTCATGCTTCATGGAAAACAATGTATGTGTTAATTTCGTGGGGACTGTTTTTATAGTGTAATAGTTTTTATTAGAGTCTCAAGGTATCTTATGACCTAACCACCCTCAAACAATTAAGAATTACTGACCTAAAGTGTTCTTAAAAAATGGTGATGCTAACATGGTCATTAGAAAGACAATCTCCTTAATTTCAACCTCCTTATTTTATAGAGTAAGTGAACTAAGTTTCAAAGTGATTAAGTGACTCTCAAAATGTCTTACAACATACTAGTAACAGTCTAGGCTAAAACCTAGATCACTTGCCTGCCATGAACCATATCACACTGTCTTCTATAGACAGATGGATTTTCTTAATTAATTAATTAAAAAAAAAAAAAAAGTGAAATCTGGACCATAGCCTTCACTATTTTCTGGACAATGAGTCCCTCTACAGGTTAGAATTTGGATTTCAGTTTATATGAGATGCATTCTAGGATGTCCCAGGTTCTCAGACAACAGAGTACAACCAAGAATCTCACAAGAATAAGACTTCTTAAAAAAATTGATATTGTTTTCTGATTCTCAAAGGAGATCAATACATACATGTACAGTACCATCGATTCTATAGATTCACATCCTAAACATACAGGTTGGGTATTAAAGAGTGTTTTTAAATAAGATAAATTTAATCAATCTCAACATAAAATCTCGGGAGTTTGAGGTATAAAGATACTCAGAATAGAATGGAGAATTAAGAGAATTCTTTAGTTAACAGATCAAAAATCTCTTGAAAATCTCATATATTTAGACTCACTAAATAATCACCAATTGCATTAACAAGCTATATGTTGCCTCCATTTAATTCACTTCCTAAAACAAAGTTAGGAGCTCTGGTAGCATAGTGCCTAAGGCACTTAACTGCTAACCAGAAGGCTGGCAGTTCAAACCCACCAGCCACTCTTCGGAAGGAAGGTTGGGTAATCTACTTCTGTAGTGATACCTCCTTGGAAACCCAAGGAGGGGTTGCTATGAGTTGGTCGACTCCACAGTACGTAACAACAAACAACAACACAAAGTTATACTATGCTCTTTAATGCATCCCTCTTTGAAGGGAAATGCCACTATTCAAATGAAGTTTGCTTTAAGATCATGTTAAATCTTCTTATAGCCTGGGTCTTAATATTCAAAATCAAGTTATAAACATAAAGCAGTTCCAAGCACAGTTCTTAAGAGATTTCACTTTCTCTTATGAAACAAACATTTCTTTAAGAGAAAGTGTGCATAGATGGATTTATTTCTATATTATCTGCCTCATGTGACTTTGGTTGTAAGGTAGCATAACTAGTATGTGTCGTTTACCTTTCCAAAGGTGGCTGCACAGGCTGGCTCTAACTTCTCTTTCCTGCAGAAATCTAAATAATGTGCATAAAGGATGCACCGTGGTAAGCAAACTCCTTCACATACAATATAATTCTCTTCAAGCCTGTGAAAAAAGGCAAATAATATTAAGTCTAATCTTTTCTTTATTTCTCCTTCCCTTTCTCCTTTCATAGTGATTTAATGTCAATTTTGAACACAGACACTATACAAATGACTTCATGAATAAACTTCCTTTATTCTGGGTATTACTACAAATCAGATCACAAGGATTAATGTTAGCAGAGCAAGAATCCATAATGACCTTCTACTAAAGCAAAAAGCAAAACCAAACCAGTTGCCAGTGAGTTGATTCCAACTCATGGCAACCCCATGCTTTGCATGTATGACTTCATTCCACAGAGTTTTCAAGACTGTGACCTTTCAGAAGCCGATTGCCAGGCCTTTCTTTTGAGATACTCCTGGATATCTCTGGGTGAGTTCAGCATACCTACCTTTAACTTAGTAGTGAATGCTAACTGTTTACACCACCCAGGACCATCTGAATTTCTATAGTGCAGTTAAAATATCACGGCTAGGCTAGGTCTCACTTCTGTGTCAATCCTCACTCTTCATCACAGTTTGCTCTGTGATACAGAACTATGAATGATGAAAGTGAAGATGACAGTGTTTTAAAAGAACTCAACATCCTCAATACAAAAGAGCTGCCAGGCTTCAGGTTATCAAATGCCTACAATCTCTTACTTTCATTCACAAACAAGAACTGAGCCCAAAGTACTTAAGGAAGGTGATGATGTACTCATTTTCAAAATACATAGGGTAAGTTCACTTTATTTAAGACTGAAATAATACTGGTCTATTTCTATCCCTTCACATTTTTATTGTGATCAATACTATAATTACCTAAAACATCCTGTGCCTTTGAAACATACATGTAATTCTTCATAGATAATGCCAAACAGGACATATATAATGTCAGCTCTATGTTATGAATATTATTATAGACATTTGGAAAACTCAAAGATAATTCCATTTAATCTAAATATCTGCAACTGAAATTAAATATAATTTATATAAAGAAAATAAATATATATTGAAGTATTACAAGTACTTGAATAGCAATCAATCTAGAAATCAGAATTTCTAGATTCTATCCTGAGTTTTTCTAACAATCCAGTATTTGATTTTGGTTAAAACTTATAGTTTATGTATTGTAAAATTACGATAATTAAATCAATAGAAACAAAGCAATGCAGAGTACACATTCAGATTAAAATTCACAAGAATTCTGATTTAACATACTTCCAATATACATGATATAAAAGCTAAAATAAACATGCTCTCTGAGCAGTTAAAGCATTAGAAATCCAGTTTTCTTTAGGAAACAAAAACAAAGTCAGTAAGATCTAGTCTTTCAAAACATAAAATCGGTTTGGATGCATAAAACCTAACAGGTAGTTGACAGTGAAAATTAGGGTTACTCAGTGAGATTTTGCATTCTGATTTTCAGTTCTAACTTATAACATCTCAAAGATAAACTATTACCTTAAAAGATGCAAATGAATTCTTAAAAGACCAATAACTGATTTTACGTGTTCTTTAATTTTAACACATATTTTTTAAGAAAGAATGCAGAAAATTCAAACAAAATGATAGAATTTTATAGTTCCAAAACATATAAAAACACTAAAAAAAACATTGTTTCTTTAAAAAAATCAGTTATTTAAAAATAATATTTTAATGTCATGCACCTATCACCTACTTTTCACTCTGCTATTTTGATATTGTAGTAGGCATTGTGTTCGGCTTCCAAATACCGAGTAATCTGAGACATAGGTATGACTTTAATTTTGGATATAGCAATTTTTCTTTAATCTTAAGGATGCATAATTATAAAATTAAAACTTAAGGTTGTCTTCACTAAGCTTGAATTGAAAAAGTGGGAGTGATCATTTGAAACACCTCCATTACATATCTGAAATCAAAACACTTTTTTCCCATTATAGTATGAAGAGTTGTGTCCTAAATATCCCAGATAGTTCAATTTATTTACTGTTCTCATGTATTCTTAACCAGTAAGCATGTTATCAACTTCAACAGTTAAACAATAAGTTTAGAGGATTATATTTTGTATGTAATATGGTTTATATTCCAAATATTTGAAAGGATTGAAGTATAAAATTTTTAAAATTTAGATTATATAAATTGTAATTCAATACTTAAAATAAAAATTAAATTTACTAGTTTTTCAATTGTATTTTCTAAGATTTAGATCATATTTTACATATAAGTAGATTATAACTAAGCAATAAATAAATGACCCTTTGTATTGATTTGTTTATTATTTGGAATTTAAGAGGAAATTTATATTCCTGTTTCACACATTGTGGGGAAGGTTAATATTATGTTTTTAAATCCTTATTACTTTTACATCAATATTTTAAAATAGTCTCCATATAGAGAGAGCCTATAAATATATTCTTGGTCTGCAAGAATTTGCCACAAAATCTGATTTGTGATATTTTAGTAAATCATATATGACATGTACTGGAAAAGAGTCGAACATTTATTTAGGTAACAGTGATATGTTGCCTGTTTTTTATACCTGCTATTTCAATGCACTTCATTTATAGCTGCACACTGTGTTTAATTTGCCTCTTTAAAGGCAATGTTAAAGCTAAGATCAACTCTCCTTTGAAGTCGTTTTTAAAAAAATATTTCATAACCACAGAAGCTGCCAAATACCAATTATAACCAAAGAAAGCTATTACATGTTAAGCAAAAAAAGTTATTATTTTAAAAAAAAAAAATCCTTATTTTTGTATCTGAAGAAATTGTGGTTTTAGCCAATAATGAACAAAATAAGGTGGGTTTTAGTTGTACTAAATACCATTTTGATTAATTATCAGAATCTGTCTCTATACCAAATATTTAGTGGGGGAAAAAATTGGATGATTTCTAATTGGTCTTTTAAGCTTCCAAAAAGTTTGAGGCAGAAAACAAACTTCGAAAAGAAACTGAGAAGACATCGGTTTTTAAACCTCAACAGCTGCTTAAATGTATTCCTGTAAGTTTCTGCGGGGAGACTTACCACTGCAGCGTGAGCTGGGTCTGCTTCTTTTTATCCTTCATAATCTGCGTGATGGTTTTCTTCTGAGAGAGGTGCTGATCGGCTGCTTTGGCTTTGCTATCATGACTCTCCGCATCTTCTTCTTCTTCAGAGAAGTTACCATTGCTTAAATGCATTTCTGATTGTAAATTGAAAGGATAACGAAGAAAAGCGGAATATGAAACCAATTCAGTAACCTCTAAATAAACCTTTGCGTCAAACAGGGTGGCCAAGGTATGTGGGAGCAGTTATGCAAAATCCCCTAGAGTTCACAACCTCCAACTGACAAACATTTTCCCCGGGAAACAAAAAGATGTGGAGAGACATTCTACATTTAAGTGCATTTTGTGGGGTGTTTGTTTTTCTTATTGGATGCCCTTCCTAGGGAACACTGCTGTCCGGATCACATCGCTGGAGGGAGCAGAGCACTCACCTGATTTAACTCCCACCGGCAGCTCCGAGTCTTCCCCTTGCTCGCTGCTGCTTCGCTGGCCTCCCAGCTGCGCCTCAGCCGCCAGGTACACCCTTTCCTCCGGGTAGGAGAGCAAGCCCTTGCCCAGAAGCTGCACACAACACTCCGGGATCTCAGGCGAAACTTGGGGCGAGGGTTGCGTCCGTAGGAAGGCTTCTTCCAGCTCCGGGACCTTAGCCATCCTTGTGGCCGCGGGAGAACGCCGCACCCGCCGCTAGGCCGGCTGGCCGGCAGCCCGGATCCCCAAGCCCCGGGTGGGGCGGGGCGGGGCGGGGCTGGGAACCTGTTGCCGCTAGGGCGGGGGAGGAGGCCTGCGGCTCCCGAGCCCAGGGCGCCACAGAGTTGGAACGCCGAGCGCTCCGCGGTCAGAGTGGGGCGAGATGGGACCGAAGGCCTCACTCCACCTGTCTACCCGTCCTGGCAGATGCTCAACTTAGAACTCACTTCCTCACCTGAGCCCCAGTCACGCCCTGAGCCAAGGAGTCCCATTTCCCACACCCCTTTCCTTTCCTTCCTACTTCCCCTTTCTTGCGCTAGGCCCGAAGACTTTTTCACATTCAAGGATCCAGTTGCTTAGAAAACTCCAACCCCCTTTACGTGGGAAGGGAGCTGCAATTGTCCTCATCTCCACTCTCGAGAGAAATAACGCCCCCGACAGCCTTGAACTGTGCGCGCGCGAGGGACAGCGGGAACAGGGTGCCCAGACTAGCGCTCAGTTTTGCGCAGCATGATGTGGTTTATTTTATTTCGAAATAATCCCAGGGTCTGGTGAGGCTCCTTCCAGATGCTTCAGGACGGAACCTCATTGCATGACACACTTGTCCAGACTGCCCTGCTGGTGGGCACAGACCGCAGTTCCCAACACAAAGGAGCTTGGGCTCCTGAACCTTGAGGCCCTCAGGCGTCTGGCCCTGGACTTGGTGGAAAAGATGCATTGGTTGGCCCCCGTTTACGATATTCTCTGATTTAAACATGTAGTGAAACGATCATTTCTGGCAAATGAAAAACGAAATTGCAGAAAATTTCTAACCCATATGGCAAGAATCCTGTGCTATGGAAGATGATAGCTTGTGCTCTCTTTAAGGAGGACCAGTGGTTAGAGAATTGAGGTTGGTGTGGCCTGACTGCCACAAAACCTCTTCCATCCTTTGTTCTTTTGTCAAATATGCCCTGTGCTTAGTATATACTCATTGGCTTTCCAGGAAAAGTAAGAATCCTGATTTGGTTCACAATGCCTCACTACAACCAAATTGTCATTTTCTCTGGGGAGAAACCACCCTTGAACTTGAATTTAATATGAAATTAGATCACACTGAAACTTAATCTAGGAAAACCAAACGGGATGCAAGGTGGTGGGTAACCAACAGTGAGTTACTGGGAGGAGCAGTACAGTCTAAGGGCACAGCCTTGCCTAAGCAGCCAAAATACAGATGTATCTGAATTTCCCCATTTTTTAGCACCACTCACTGGAAAGGCATCATTTCTCTGTCATCAGTTTTCTTCTTACCTGGTGTGATAGTTAAGTTGTGTGTCAATTTGGCTGGGCCTGGTTTTGAATGGCTGGGCAGCTGGATGTAGTTATCCCCCATGATGAGACCAGAAATCAATTCCCTGGTGGAGTCTACTGGAGTGGCTGAGTAGCTGCCTTAAGAATGTGGTCTGTTTCCAGTATACAAGAAGACAGCTTTGAGAAAAATCTCTGGAGCTTTTGGCGCATCTAGATCCT